CTCAGAGGAGGACCACATCTATTCCAGGAAGTGGGAAACGTTCTATTCTGAGTTTTCGTGTGATGATGCTTCTCCTCCCCTCAAAAGGGAAGTACGTATTAATATTTTGCGGGGGGGTTCAAACTATCCAGGTGTTTGTATTGTATCCCCATTTAGTGGTAGCTGTTCCCCCAACTCTTAACTCCTATTTAAACCCTACTTTAAAACCCAAACTTGAAAACCGAATCTTGATTTTAAACCCTCATTTGAAACCCGAAACATGACTTGTTCCCAAGCTTGAAGTCCTACTTTCAAACCCTAACACTTACCTGAAACTCTACTTTGAAACCCTATGACCCGAATGATGACTCAAAACCCAAACTTTATGCCCCACTTTAAAGCACTAAACATGACTCGAAACTGCAACACTGACTTAGAACCTACTTTTATAACCCTAACTATGCCTTTAAACCGTACCGTGAAACTCTAAATATAACTTGTATATAAGCCTACATTGAAACCGTATTCAGAGAGTGAAACCCTACCCTGAAACCCAAACCCTAACCTCAATCCCTAAACCTGACTCGAAACCCTCCACTGAAAACCGTAAAGCTGATTTAAAACCATACTTTGTAACTTCAAACTCAACTTGGAGCCCCAACAAAGACTCAAAACCCTAAAATGAATGTTCATACCCTAACCTTACCTTGAAACAAAAACCCTAACTTGAAATCCACACCCTGACTTAAAAATGGGTTACTGCATTTTGGAAGCTTGCTGTAATGAGGCAGACAGACTAACAGACAGACACTTCACATCAATTACAGGGAACACAATGTACCAGAGGCACAACAGCATTGCTCGGGATAATGCGTGTGTGTGTGTGTGTGTGTGTGTGTGTGTGTGTGTGTGTGTGTGTGCGTGTGTGTGTGTGTGTGTGTGTGTGTGTGTGTGTGTGTGCGGACTTAGTCTGATCCCGTTATTTCTCTAAGGGGGATGTTAGTTCCTGAGCGTAAAGCCCATATAGACTATCTAATGCAATAAGCCAATCACACGCACACACTGCACCGGCCTCCCGGGGCTGCACACGAGCAGTTTCAAGTGTGGACGAGCATGCTTAGCGCAAGCGCGTGTACTATAAAAGGCAACGAGGCGGCCCGGCCGGGTTTAATGGAGGCTGAAGCCGACATCCGCGGAGGTCGACGTGTGCGCCAAATGGGACGTTTGCCTCACTTGGCACGCCGTCTTGCTTCTCTCGTCTCATATAGTGGGTTCAAAATATGGCAAAAGTGACTTTTTTTAATGGCTTGCGTACAGATAGTTGACTCTCTGGAGTGCCTGTCTCGTGTAAAATTAAACAATCAAGTAAATCTTGAATTTCGGGAAATGATCAAGATCTCTTGTATTTGGCGGAATTACTGTATGACGTCAAATTTTCATTTACTCATTACCACACCTTCACCGACAGCAGCTTGACCAATGACATAATTAACCAAGACCCAGGGACACTGTATTTTTTTTCTCATCTTTGTGTGTTTTTCTACTGACATTTTTTTCTGAGCACGTTAACCTTTTTATTGGCCAACTTGCACTGAGTCCCTTTTGCACCTGATATGTGATTTTAAGATTGCGTTCCTTTCTTATGAATTATTACTTGAATCAGCACCTTGCTAGCTGGCTGACTTAGCAGTACCTTATCTTCCGTCCCATGCTGATGTTTTGGTGTCTCAGAGAGGTAAAAAGAAAGTCAGCAAGTTGTACAACTAGTTTCTCCCCTTGCCTCACCCCGCCTCACATCTGGATTTTGGCCTGTTTTACTGACACTTCTCTCCCCCTCCTCCTCTGACAGCAGGCAGAATGATGATGAAGAAAACTACCCATACTGATGAATTAAACCTACCATGAAATGGGTTACAAGGTTATCCATATAGCAGTGGTGGAAAATAACGCAGCGATAGAGTGGTTGTTTCGCAACCCGCCTACTGCCCGAAGACAGCTGGGTTAGGCTCCAGCACCCCTCGCGACCCTAGTGAGGATAAAGCGGTTCGGAAAATGAATGAATGAATGAATTTGATATGGAGGCCCGTTTTCAAACGTGAAGGTACGTTAAATTGACAGATGACGGAATCAATGGCTCAGGACAAGCTCAGTGAGAGTGGCAATTGGGGCAGTGTCGTCGGGACCCATCCAGCAGATGGTGCTGTAGCAAGTGTCAGGAAGAAAGGGTTGAAAAAGCATTCTTTGTTGCACTGCTCATCCGTCTTTATTGCTCATGATACATGGTGTACAAAAATTGAAGAAGACTCTCGAAGACAGGACAAAAAAAGCAACATCGGCAGACATATGTTCCTCAATACACACACACACACACACACACACACACACACACACACACACACACACACACACACACACTTCATCACACACGGAGTGGGGACCGTTTGGTTGTGTTGCGTTCAAGGACCATGTAAAAGTTTTGTATTGAAAGTAAACTTATGTAAAATTATCCTTCCTGTGTTTGCATGTTCTCCCCGGTTTCCTCCCACATTTCAAAAATATGGATGCCAGGTTAATGGAACACTCTAAATTGTCCCTAGTTGTGACAGTGAGCACGAATGGTTGTTCCTCGATGTGTGTCCTGTGATTGGCTGTCACCCAGTTCAAGGTATCCCCCGCCTACTGCCTGATGACGGCCGGGATAGGCTCCAGCAAGCCCCTCAGCCCTTGTGAAGATAAGCAGATTAGAAAAGGCATGGATGGATATTCAAAATAATTTCTCTTGCAGAAAGAAAAATGCTTGTAATATTAACCAAAGGTGAAAAAAATAGATACTTCCACCCGGATCCCAGGCATAACGAATTCCATTTTTTTTCTTTACCCTAAGCCCACCTTGTGAATAATTCCCGTGGTTTTGTTTAAGGACATTTCTATGGGGTCCTGCTCGCTGACAACCAAACGGACTTGGTGGCGGTAATGACATGGAGGCAAATAACTGATTTTGTGGGTGAACTCGCTCTGTGACGGAACTCGTCGTGAATCAATCGTCGAGGCGGCTCAATGGGATGTGTTGTGATTGTGTTGCCCCACTTACACACGCTACCACCCGCACACACGCACGCACACGGAAAGCACGCGTATAGGCCGAGGTCAGCCGAGCCCGTCGCTTAGAATCCCGTTGAGCTCGGCGACGCACTCGAAGCACTCTGACGTGGTCGCTCTGTGTTAGCCTGACTTACTTCCTCCACCAGGTTGGCATCCGGGAGATAGCCACGTGTCAAACACACACACACACACACACACACACACACACACACACACACACACACACATTTCCGTACACCCGCGCGACATTAAAGGTAGCTTGCACATGTTTTTCTGTTGTTTTACATTCATCTGTTTTTTATTTTTGTTTTTTTCGGCGTTTTATGTTTTTGGTTCGAGGCATATGTTTGTGTGTGTGTTTATGGAAAGCTGCATGAGCATTTATTTTGTATCCTTGAAGAGTGTACTAGTAGGCTCTTTGTCTTTAATATACAAACTGTGTATTATGAACAATGTTTTTGTGTGATATTTCTGCACACTAGGAGGACTACGTTGGCATATTGAAAACCACTTTACTAGTGAAGCAAAACTTTTTGCATTTTGCATTTTGGTGCTACTAGTGGAGTCCAGGAGGCTACTAGTTCTAACATAAATAAAAAGACATGAGATATCAGAATTGGGCCGAGCAGTTTTACTCGTACAGCACTATTGCAAGCTGTTGAAGCATTTATTCAATATCCGACTAGTGCATGGAACTGTCCATGTACTAGTAGACACTTATTCCTTACTAGTAAGGCAATTAAGCACACTAGTAGAACTCTGTTACTAGTGAGACAAAACTGTGCACCAGTTGACACCTGCATGCTACTAGTACGACTACTAAATAGTAGAATTTTATAATGACACTAGTTGCACTAGTAACACACTGTAAACTAGTTCACAGTTTTGCGTAACTTGTAACATGTTGTTTCTTTGATATCCAGTTTAAGGTCCATGTACTAGTGCGGTATGCTCTGTTACACGAGTGGGACAACTATTGTACTTGTAACTCATTGGGATTTTGGTGTTACTAGTAGGACCCAGGAGGCTAGTAGTGCGTGACACATGTCTACCTGTATGTTATAGTTTGGCGTAGGAGTTTCACTATTGCAGCACAGTAGTTTACTAGTAAGGTTTAACTGCGTACTATTTGGCCAAAGGTGCCACGAGTAGTGGAAAAAAACATTACTCTTTAAAATGTCATTCTACTAGTGCACTATATTGTCTTACCAGTGAGGGTAAAGAATGTTCTAGTACTTAAGCTGGATATCATGGATAGTGAATAAAAACTCAAATGGATTTTCATATGTTTTGAGGTGTCGTTGTCAACTGGGGGACGTATTGTTAAGTAGGAAGTGTGTTTTTTGTGTGTGTGTGTGTGTGTGTGTGCGTGTGTGTGTGTGTGTGTGTGTGTGTTTCATTCAAATGTCTTCTTACCATCCATCACACAAGTGTTGCCAAGAGCATCAGCCCAGTGACAAAAAAAGCTCTTGTGAGTGAGAATTTAGTAGGATATGGTACACAATTCACAATTCAATTTAAATCTCAGTCAAATTATTTAATTTGATCCAACCGGGAGGTACTAATTGATGAAATATGTGATGACTGCTGCTAAATTTTTTTTTTTTGAAAGATCATGTTAAAAAAATAATAAATTACAAAATTAAATAAAATCCAATTAAACCTCATAAAAAAATCACACAATAAAGCAAAGTCATAAAAGTACTACTAATTAGCAAATAGTGTCACAATTGATATAGAAATAATAATAAAATAAATATATATTAATCGAAAATGTAAATTGCACTACGGAATAAAATTAAATAAAGCTTTTTCAAATTGAATGTAAGAAGTAATACATTATCATGAACATTTATTGAAATAACTTGTGATAATACAACAGAAAACATTTATATAAAGCTTTGTAATTTAAATAAGTAAAGTAATTTAAAAAGTGTTAGTGCTTTAGGGTTTAATTTAGTTTTTGGGGTTTGTTATTTTGTCGAAAATCCTACTAAATTCCCAAGAGATGGTGTTTGTGCTGTGGGTTAGTGCTCTCAATAATCTTGAAAGCAATCCCTATTCTCGAGGTAAAGGCATATAGTTAAACGTTTGTTTTACACACACACACACACGCACGCACACACAGTTGAACACACACACACACACACATTCTGTCCTTGTGTTGATTAATATGTTAACAGTATGAGGCTGTGTTCGGAATCATTCAGTTGCTCCCGAATCACCATTCAGTGTTCCCTTGAATTTTCTCAGATGTAATTTATTCATTATTTTTTTTATAACCTATCATCCCTTATTCGCTGTAAAACTCACCTATTTGCTGTTTTTAGCTGAGGCCAAGTCCTGTTTAAAAGTAGTGACTTTCTGACATCTTGTGGCATATGTAGGCAATTGTAAGCCTTTTTGGAGGAGCGACAATTATTTGCAGATTATCGTGAGGGGTTTTTTTTTTTTGTGTTTTTGTTGTTTTTAATTTTGACCTATACAAGCTTGTGCCATACGGTGTAATTTATAGCTGTGACATTTCATCAAATAAATTCCTCCTATTGCTCAACCTAACCTTGAATTCATAAATATGACTACATATTATTATTATTATTATTATTGTGACGAAAACCTGAAGGGTATCTTCAGGATCAGCACAAGAAATCAGTTAGAAAAGTTTACTTGCATCTCTGATGGGAAAAAAAAAAGTTGTGAAATTTTGTTGACGTGTGTAATTTAATTTCTGAATACAGTCAATTATGTAACATGGGTTCATGATTGTGTGCAAGTATTTGCACGATGCGTGATGTTGATGCTTTATGATCGCCTCTGTTTTAAGTGCTGTAGCACCATCTGGTGGCATCTTGGGAAGGAGCTGTTAAAGTGAGTTGAGGAATTTCATTTGGCCAAAGGCAGTCCTTTGCCACCATTTTGTGTCTTTTGGAGGCAACTGTAGGACAATATAAAACGTATACAGGGGTCAATTATTCCTGGATTTTTGCAATTGCTTGGCCATTTCTAGTGACCACTCCTTTTCCTGATGCATTGTGGGATATAACCTACACTTGCTAGACATTTTGACCAACATGGCCAAATGGCAAACTCGCTTTTTAGAGCACAATACAGCGGGTAGAGAGTGATTCCGAGCACAGCCAAAATCCACAGATGGAAGTCTTTGGTCTCAGAGTCAACGGCGGCATCAGACCTGCACGCCAGGCTTGCTCACGTCTCCGTTTCCCTGCTTGCCCCCGCCGCCCCCCCTGCCATCTTCGTCGTCGCTGTCCAGCTCCTCGCTCTTGCGTTTGCTGTAGCGCTCGTACAGCACCATGAGCACGCCCATCACCCACGCCGACACCGTGCCCGCCGAGAAGATGACGAAGCCGATGGCCACGAAGAAGAGGTAGTCCCAGTAGCCCAGGCCCTGGTGGCAGTCCGCGCGCAGCTGCATGCCCAGCTCGGCCAAACGCCGTCCCGTCAGCTCGGCCGGGCTCTGGCACACCGTTTGGCCCTCGTCTGGAAGGGAGAGAGAGTGAATGGATATGTTACCATATTTGCACATTTGAACTTATTTGAAAATACATTTGAACGGATTTGCGACTACGTTCAAATGAGTTTGCCAGTCTAAATTGTTGACTCCACATTGTCAGTTTCACACTTCCGTAGACAACACCTTTCCTCTGATTGGTTAATTTCCGTTACGGGAGCGCAATGAGTCCACCATGTCTCTTCATTGTTTCGGCTCCATTGAAATTTAGTTGGCGGAATTCTACCTGGCGACGTTGCACCCTGAGGTGGCCACGGTGGGGTGAAAGTACAACGCCCCTGGAGGAGATTTTTTTTTTCCTCCACCTCCATTGGGAGGCCGCGTGACCTCGCAAGTGCATGGAGGGGTGACTAAGCAGTGCGAATGAATGAGTGGGCCTCAATGTATATTGTACACATAGTGTCAGTTTATTCCTCAATACCTCTAAGATTGACAGCTGATTCCTAAACATACCTTAACCCAAACATTTTCAGTTTCCAACCAAAATAAAATTCATTTGTCTCACCATTCCCTCACTTTTGGAGGGTGGTTTATGTGCACATATGCAGTCCTGAGGGCATTTGTGTTATATTTCAGGCGAAAATTGGGAATTGAGTCAAAGTCACAAGGGTACTTTCATCCACCAATGGAACAATCAGATGCAAGAGAATAATCGAGGAAGCAGGGTTTTTTTTTTGTCCTTTTTATCATCTCATCTAACTTCATCACTCATTAGCAACATACTAATTGACATCCTCATCATCACGCGCCCCCCCCCCCCATCCTCCCTTCATGCTCAGTTGCCTCTGCGAAGAAAAATGACGTGAGAGGACGAAGGAGAGGAAAGGCAATTAGTCAGAGAGAGAGCAGCGGACAAATGTCCAATTTGTGTTTTTTACAGACTACATAGCCAATGATTCAGTTTCAGCGCTCTGAGGCAGAAGTGATTGATTGTGCTTTGTAAAGTTTGGTCAAGCAAGTCTTTCCATAATTTGTTTTCTAATTACTGTAATACAGATTGTATAGTGAACATTCAAACAGCATTTTTTTTCTTTGTTCTCTTTCGGGCATTTGTATTAAATTAGTTAACCTTTTCATGCAGCGATAATGATAACCTGTAACCTGATGATAACATGATAAACTGTCCATTGTAGTAGCCACTGTACCTGAAAGGGTTAATATTTCACACAGCCCATTTTCTGAAAGAATGCAAAAAAATCTAAATTCCTTTAAACGGGGGTTTTAATATTACTATTATTATCAATATTATTTGATGTGATTTGAACAGACAGAAAGTGCAGTATGAATTGTGTTTGAGTGCCTTCATCCGCCTTTAAGAGGCGGAGCCTGTTAGCTTGGATTAAACGGTGGCACGAATGATAAATTTTGATATAGCAGAGGTTTACTGTCCATTATCCATTTTTCTCAGTCATACAGACTCTTCTTACCCCCAATATAAAAAACCCACCAGAGAGGGGAATCTGGCCACTTTCCCTTTGGCTGATGGCTCACCACACTGTCCATTAAAGTGCACTCAAACATCAGGAAGGCCAAAGGATCCAAACATTGCAAATGAAGGACGGAGGGATGAACGGTCAGGAACAATCTACCCCAGTACGAATCTTGGTCTCGACAGTCTTTGTCTTCCTGTCTCCTAATAAAGGTTTTCTTATCTTATCTTATCTTATCTGTCTTTGTCTTCCTGTCTCCTCCTCGCAAACACACTCCTCCCTGATACGCCTGACACTGTCACTTCAACACTGTCATTTTTTTTTTCACCCTCCATTTGCGTCCTGTGACACTGATGCATGGCCTTATATGAAAATTACATTGTGGGATGCTACAGTACTCTCTTTGCTGTTACAATTTGTGTGTAGCCTCAAGTGAAGGTGGTTTTGTGCTGAATAATTTCATTTCTGAATACAGTCATTTGTTGAACGAGATTTGACTACAACCACTAGGCGACCGCCATATTGTGATTACCGTATACTTTTGCGAAACAACAAACCTCATGGCAGCCTTTGATTAAAGGACTTGTAGTGCAGCTGTCTTGGAATTCTGTGCAGGTTTAAGGACAAATGCAAATGACTACGTAATGAGTTCGATCCAAGGTTATCAAACACTGCCCACATCAATACCACCCAAAACCCTTCCCCACACACACACACACACTTTATTTGCTAGATTTTAATTCCAACTTGATCAGCTCCATCAACTGCTACAAAGGAGGACGAATGAGTAGTGCTAGACGTTTTCGACTGGACTTTAGTGCGTGACAGATAAGAGCGCTGACAAGTGCCGCAAATGTCAAGGACATCCCTGACAGTGACAGCTTTTCCTGGCCTGACTGATGGGAAGTGGGGATAAAAATGTAAAAAAAAAAACTGTGAAAAAGAAAGTGACAAAGAAACAGGACTCAATTATGTCTCTGTTTAACAGAGGTGGCAAAAGTACACACACTACTTCGAGCTAAGTATACTGTGAGCATCTGACGTTAGCTTTCAACATTACCTATGATGTCAGCCTCCAAAGTTAGTTACAACATTCCCTGAAATATTAGCTTCCAATGTTACCTTAAATGTTTCCTGACAATGTCACCTACAATATTACCTTCATCCTGAGTTGCCAATTTTAGCTTGTATGTTAGCTTATGAAGTTAGCTTCCAATCCTACCTCTGACATTAAAGCTAAGTAAGACTAACATTAGATTCCAGAGACGATTACCTGACAGCTATTTTGACAAAGGAGTTATTAATTCAAAAAAACTTTTTTTTTCATTCAATCCATCGATTAATCAAAAAAACCCCGACAGATTAATCTGTTTTTAAAATATTTGTCAGTTGCAGCCCTACTTCCAACACTAACTTCCAACATTACCTCTAACATTAGCTTCAACGTTAACTTCCAATGTTGGCTACAAATTACCTCGATGATTAGCGTCTAACGTTAGCCCTAAAGCTAGCTTTAAATGTTAGCGACGTTAAATTGATTATCTGTGTGACAGATAGGAGCGCTGACAAGCAGTGCAAATGCCAAGGATGTCCCTGACAGAGACAGCTTTTCCTGACAGACTGACTGATAGGAAGTGAGGATAAAACGAATAGAAAAAGACATGAAGTGACAAAGAAGCAGGATCCCTTTATGTCAATGATGTTTAGAGGTGGCAAGAGCACTCACGCTTTGTCGCATACTTTATTAGTTGTGTCAAAAATGACTCTGGTAAAAGTAGAAGTACCTCTACTAACTCAACTCCGTAAGTAAAATTCAAAAATTACCGGTACAAAGTTTTTTTTAATCTAATCTGCCTTTATCGTATGTACTCTTCTCTCATATGACACTACTTAGGACAAGTGTAAAAGAAATATGTGGAAGGGATAATCAACAGACCTCTGTTAACGCTGAATTACTAACAAAAAGTAAGAAAACTAATGGTGTGAACTTCAAGTTTTGTTTGACTTATGCCCCCCCCCCCATCACAATCAAGTGATTATCTAAAGCTGAAGGGTTTGAAATCTGCGCTGATGCTATCAAGGAGCTTAAACGCAATCATCACGGCGCCTAAGAATAGTTGACCTTTTCCGCATTCACGCCTTCGCTCTCGTTCTTGAACGTTAGTCAGAACGCCGTCGTCCTCCTTTTTCAGCTTCTCCATAGCGGCTCCTCTTCCTCTGGCAGAGGATAAGTGCAGAGCCACAGTGAAGGTCGGCTCGCAGCAAAAAGCTCTTATCGCTTCATTTTTTTTTCATTTATTCTCCCTTCAGCCCCTTTTCACTCTATTTCACTCAACCATCCTCCCGCTTGGCTCTTAACTACTTGGAGAAATGGAGTGATATGTATGGCCCTCTTCAACCGTTATGCTGTGGGTCAGTTTCTTTTCAAAATGCCGTGCCTATGTGGGTTTTCTCCGGGTGCTCCGGTTTCCTCCCACGTTTCAAAGATATGCATAGTAGGTTAATGGAACGCTCTAAACTGTCCCTAGGTGTGATTGTGAGCGCAAATGGTTGTTCGTCTATGTGTTCCCTGCAATTGACTGGCAACCAATTTATGGTGTACCCCACCTCCTGCCCAAAGACAGTTGGGTACGGCTCCAGGACGCCCGCAACCCTTGAGGATAGGCGGCTCGGATAGTGGATGGGTGGATAGATATGTGTGAGTGAAACCTTCGGGTAGTACATTTGCAGCCGTTTTGAAAAAAGGAAAAAAGATCCCTCCCATGTCCATATGTTGAATTTTGGCAAGGCTGCACAAGTAGGCCAGTTGAATTTGATATGCGTCCAATGTGATGACTAATTTATGCTGCGGCTGTATTGAATGATGCAATTGTCTTTAATGAATTTAAGTGGTGGCCTCTTCCCGACCCTGTTTTGTCCCACATGCTTTGTTTTGTCACACCACCACGTCTCGTCTCTCGAGTTCACTGCAGATAAGTCCACTTTCACTTCTTCCCTCAGAAGTGGAAATAACATCTCTCAAATAGTGACATACTTTGTGCACGTCTTGATGCAAAGCGCTTGTCCGAATCAGCGCATCGGGCCATTCGACCGTTCACTGACAATTAGCGAGACAGCATGAGAGTGCAATGCTGTAGGCGCAGAGAAATAAATAGAATGGAGACACTCCACGGAACCTTTTCCTTCAATGAGTATTCACATAAATAGTGGACACTTTAGTAACTTTACAGGGTGCCTTTAAGGGCAAAGGGGAAAAAGGTCATAAAAAACTGCGACATAGTTATTACTGCTAGTTTCCAGTGTAAGCTGAAGCTAATAGTTCAAATGATTGATTTCAATGTTAGCTTTCAGCATTAGGTTCCAAAGTCAGCTTCCAAATAACATTAGTATCCAGCCAGCATAAGGTTCAACAGTAGCTCTAACGTTAGCATTCAATGTTAGCTTCAACATTAGTCTCCAAAAATCAGCTTCCAACGTTACTGCTCATGTTGGAGCTAAGGAAGACCAACAACAGCTTCCAATGTTTGCGCCGACATTAGCTTCCAACATCAGTTTCAATGTTAGCTGTTATCTTCTAATATAACCGCTAAAATTAGTGCAAAGACCAACGTTTGCTTCTGATGTTAATATCCAATATAAGCTTCCAATGCTAACTCTGATTTTAGCTTCCAATGTAAAATTAGAGCTAATGAAAACCAATGTTAGCTACCAAAGTTAGGTTCAACATTAGCCTACAATGTAAATTTACCATTCTGCTTTCTTGCACTCCTTGCCTGCCCTCTCTTGAAATCTTCTATCACGCTGCTGTTTGCTGTCAAGCCGGCTGGTGATCAGCGTATATCAGACGCTCATAACATACTCAACGTTTAATTCCTCCATTAATTCTTGTTAAGCGTCCGTGGGTACAAAGTTGCAATATAAATCTCACCAATGATGATTAAAAGTCAATTAAAAAGTACACTGTGTGTTTTAAAGCACTCGACTGCTCTTCTGAATCCTGCCCCAGTCAGGCCCTAAAAGTGATTCCCTGGATCTGACATTGCACACACTAAGTGGAGTGTCTTTACAGACAACTCTCATGAGTGGAAACACATAATTTGACCAGCACCATCATTAAATCACGTGAATGAGGAGAGGAGGTGAAGTGTGCAAGAAGGGATCGAAAAGGAGAACTAAAGGACACTGTTGCTTTAAGCCAGTGGTTCTGAAATTAGGCTCTCCCAGCTGTAGTTTGGGGGCCTGTGAAACAATTTTAAATGAATTATGTCATATCATGGAAAATAAAAAACAATAAAACACACATTACTTCACGTTGCGCCAGTTCAACTCTCTGATATCTTTGTCATGTATCATCACATACAGTAAATCGGCCATCACTTCATTAATAGTCTAATTGTTTTTAAGAACTTATTATCGATTGATTGATCTTTTTTTATCAACATGTTTTTCCATGAAAAAAGTTGTTTAATATCACCAGAACAAAGTTGTAGTTAAGTTGTATTTTTTGAAAATCAGTTGTGACTTTTGACAACTATTCCCCTGTTAAACTTCAAGCTTAAAATCACAATTTCAGACTTTTGACTTTTTATCCCCCCCCCCCAAAAAAAAAACAACTCTAAACTTCTATAAAGTATGATTTTATTGGGGCTATTCGCCGTTTCCTTTCCCTCACGTTTCTTTTCTACAATGCCCTATGATGCCACCAGATGGCGCCAAAGTCTGAGCAAAAAGTCGTGCTTTGGCACCACCTTGTGGCAACTTGATGCCGAATGGAAAATTTTCGTGAGAATTATCAGGATTTGGCGGAATAAACAAGAAATGCCGAACTAGAAATTTTCCACCTGTTGGCAGCCCTACAAGTAACTAGGTTGAAGTAAGGGGCGAAGCTTCTTTTTGACGCTGTTTTAGTGAAAAGTCGTGCTTTGGCGCCATCTCGAGGCCTCTATGGACAATTATAAACTCTTTTGGGGGAGGTCAATACCATTATCTGCAGCAAGGCTCTCTCCCTATCCCCCATGAATAGTGAGGGATTACTGTGCATGGGGTTTAATTTGCATTGGGATTATATACAGTATCTCCATATGGGTCCTTGGAAAATCTTTCTCCCTTGTGAAGGGGGGTCTAGAGCCAAACCCCTGCCTTAACCACTGACTGGCTTCACACACATAAGCAGCATGAACATTGATCCCCCCCACCCCCCACGCCCCATCAACAATGCCCCATGGGCTCACCTTCTCACGCTGTCTTCATGTCGTACACACGTTGCGCTAACGGCGCGATAAATTTGCCGCTGTTTGAGATTAAACTGCAGCCGCAATCACATCATCTTAATGAGCTGACGTGACAACGCGTAATATGGAGACCTTGGAGTGTCTTTGGAATACTTTTCGCAGTAATAGCCTCTTAACACCAGAGGTGTCCAAACTGGGTCCTCAAGGGCCAATGTGCCGCCTGTTTTCCATCCCTGATGCAACACACCTTGATTAAAATGATCAGGAACGCGATCTTGCTTCTTCAGAGCTTGCTGATGATCTGATCCTTGGAATCAGGTGTGTTTGAGCAGGGAGAGATGGATGACCTTGAGGACCCAGTTTGGACACCCCTGCCTTATACGCTGGCTATTTTAAAGGCATTTTTCTGTGTGCTGTACTGTGTGTCAGGTAACTTCCTGTGAGTTTGCCAACTTGGCACTTAGGACATGATACTGATCCTTTTAAGGCCCACTTTCATGAGTTATGTCGAGCCCAAAGTAGAGACCTGGGGGCCATTTGCGGCCTGCTGCATGCTTTTTATTGGCTCACTGCGTATTTTAGAGGTTGGAGATCGAAAGGTTACGAAAAAAAAGTATGTGGAGAGACAGCACACTTTTTTTTTCTGAGACAAAAAAAATGATGATTCCTGTGACCGGCCTGGAAATACAGCGGGCATCGGGGGAAAATTTCCTGAAATTCCCGATGGCCGCCCTGCCCCTAGACGTAACAGAGGGGCACTGTCTAAGTGATGAGAAGTTTAACACTCAAGACTCACAGGCCACGCCCCTTTGCATTTCAATCAATTGAAATGCATTGAAGTGACTCAATCCGGCAAGAAGCACCACTGCACACTTTAATTTAGCTACCATGAATTCTGTCCATCCCCTTGCGCACTGGCAATCAAAAATCAAGGCCCACCCCCTTGGCATTGATAGCAACCGTCACTGGCGGCATCTAATTATCTCAAAGCGGCGATCAGCAACAGCCGTGTGAGCTCAAACTTCAGACACAGCAACAAATTTCTGCTCTACTACTACACTTGAGATGTTTTAAACGTTGGAGCGATGGCCACCTGACAGGACCTGGAAAGTTCAGTTCTGTTACATTTTCCTACAGTACTTCAGGTCGTCATTATGTGTGTAGAATTTTAAGGAAGCAAAAATCTTGAGTCCATTAAATTTTAGAATAAGGCTGTAACAAAATGTCGAAAATGGATGCACTGTAAGTCTTTTAAGACTTGAACATTTCCTTCATCCATCCTCACCTTGGAACTTGAAGTTCTCGATCTGGACCCAAAGGCAGAGGTCCTCTGTGTCGCAGTCGCACTTCCAAGGGTTCCCGCTGAGTCCCACCGACCTGAGGGCCGGCAATCCGATCAGACCGCTAACGTTGAAGGCGCTCAGGTTGTTCCGGCTCACGTCCAGGACCTGCAGTGCCGCGTTCTCGGCGAAGGCGTCGGCGTGGATCTCCCTGAGACCCGGGTTGTCCGTCAAGCGCAGCATGACCAGCGATCCCAGAGGCCCAAAAGTCCGCTCATCGATCTGCAGCAGTGCGTTGAAGGACAGGTCCAGGTAGGCCAACTTGTGCAGGTTCCCGAAGGTGGACTCTGAGATCTCCGCAAGGGAGTTGTTGCTGCAGTCCAGGTAGACCAGGTCAGACAGGTAGTTGAGCTGCAATGCCGGCAGTTCCCCAATACGGTTGTTGGAGATGATGAGCTGCCGGGTGGCCAGGGGAAGATCGGCGGGGAATTGGGTCAGCTCCCGGCCCGCGCACTGGACCACCAGCTGGTCATCGCACACGCACCTAGGGTTGAAGCAGTCCAGGAATTTTGTTGGGAAAAAAGTTGGAAACGTGCCATTGGAATGAGCGGGAATTAACCAGAATTTGCCGACCAAAATGAAGCTGTGGTTGTTTTTTGGGGAGGAGGTTTTGCTGCCTTTGCAGTGGTAAAATGTATTCTGTTACATCGCAATGTTGATTTGAATTTGATGAATTGTTCAGCCCTAATTATGAAGCATGAGTCCTTTGATTTGTTTTTTTTTTTTTTTTTTTGCTTTGTGTTGCGAGGCATAATTTAGGGAGCCAAATTTTTTTAGTTTGAGTAAGCTTTGAATACGCCACCAATGGAATGAAGTGAGAAAAAAAAATTGAGACATTAAGTCATTCAATGCCAAAGACGTTTTTTTGTTCCACGTCCGTCATTCTGTATTTGTTTGGTTTTTTTTTTTGTTTTTGTTTTTTTGTTTTATTTTGTTTACATTTTTTATATTTCTTGTTTCCAAAAATCCAAACTTAACTTCTCATGGAAATTGACCAAAAACGTCCCAGAAATTTCCCGGAAGATTTTATCGCAACCCAAAACGCACCTGTCGGGGCAGCCGGCCGTCAGAGCCGGCGAGGGGGCCGCCCCCATCACGTAGACCAAGAGGGACAGGAGCCGCAGGGAGTGGACGCCGGGCTGGCGGGGGACACGCATGACGGGGGCCTGAGCCCGGAGCGTCACGGAGCGGGGACGCCACCCCTGGTCATCCCGGCCAGGCTCTCGGGATCCAACTTGTCGGGATCCAGCCTCCCCTAGTTAGTTATTTCCAGACTGGCGACCCCCCGGTGGGCGAGCTTAGTGGACTTTGCCCCACCGAGCCACTGAATCACCCCCGCGGTGACTCATGCTGGTGACTTAGTTGTCCCCGGCTGAGTGCATGACGAGGGCGTCGGTTCCTGAGCCGAAGGGATGACCCGCGCATACTTCTCCCGATCCGGGATGAGCCGTCTTTTCCCTCCTGCTGAGCGCCACTTCTCTTCGATAGAGGACGCAAGCTGCGCGATGCGTCCTTCCCACTGCTCGGCTCCGTGCACTACTGATGCTCCTGAGTGCGAGCTGCCTCTCTGAGCGCTTATGCACGTGACCACCAGTGTGCGTGTGTGTGTGTGTGTGTGTGTGCGTATGTTTGAAGGGATAATTGTAGGACTGACGTAATCAGGTGTTCAGGCATGCACAAGACCGACTAAACTTAAATGAAGTACGACACTCGCTCTCTCTCTCTCTCTCTCTCTCTCTCTCTCTCTCTCTCTCTCTCTCTCTCTCTCTCTCTGAAATCTTTGTGTGTGATAAATATGCAAATAACACCACACAGTAGTTGTGAAAAACGTTATGCTTGTTCTCGAAAAAGGATTGTAAATCTTTCTGCGTCCCCTGTTTTTTAGTAAGTACTCGAGCAGCAGCATTTTGGACCAGTTAAAGACTGTTCTTCAGGGACGCGTTTGAGGTAGATGTCCAAATCTCAGCGGAGTTTCCATTTTGGTTTTTTTCTCCAATAAAGATCGTGAAAGTTATGGGAAAGCAAACCTCTGCAACAATTAGAATCATTCTTGGCGTCGGTTCCTGAATATAATCAATCATTTTACAATTGAATCACCAGTGTGGAAAAGTAATTCTTCTTTTAATTATTGCCTTTTTTTTTTCTCCCCCATGGCTGGAGTCGATTCCATTTTGTATTTGCACGACTGTGCGATTTTCATTCTAATTTCTCTGTCTCAATCGTCACCGGACCCCAAAGCAGGAGCAGCAGCGCTCGTCTGAATAACAAACACAGATATAACAGACCTCGTCTCATATGCTCCACTGGCTGGCTAATTCCTCCCCCTTCTGTCCCCCCCTCCCAGCGGCGTGTTGACTTCATTATGCATATTCACGTCCAACTCCAGCCGCCGGTTTATTCATTAATTTTCCACTTTTAATTGCGGGAGTCAGCAGAACATTGGACTCGGTTGGATGTTGATTGCTTGTTTAAATAAATATTATCCATGTAGTTCAGGGGTGTCAAACTCATTTTTGTCGTGGGCCACATCGAACTTGTGGTAAATGAATGATTGTCTCATATTTCATAGACAACGAAGTGATGAAGAGTTAGTTTTGAAATCAGAGGCCTGTAAAAACTGTTGGTTCAAATATTTACTTATTTTTAAACAGGATTGGTCACAAAGAAAAATGCTTGCAGTTTCTCGCGGTTTCTAAAAGTGAAGACCATGAGTAATTTTGGTGAATCGAAGGAGCTGAACATTTAGAATTTGTTGTGGGAACGACATTAATCTGTTTTGTTGAACGTGTCATTAAGAATGAATCGGGATTTGTTTTTTTGTGGGCACTTTATTTGGGGAAAATCCTGAATTTTTGGTAAAACTGAATTTTTGGCATGCGAATTGATGGAATGAATTGTTGAAAGTGTCATTGGGAGTGAATAGGGAATTTATTTCTGCGTTTTGTTTTTTTTTTGGGGTGGGGGTTGTAATGCTGAAATGTTGAGTTTTTGGTCACTAGGAATTTTTGGCAAGTTGAAAATTGTTCCCAAGGTGAATTAAATGAGCTGGTGTTTTAAATTGCAAGTGAGAATGATGCAAATGTGTCATGTTGAATGTCACATTGGAATGAATGATCACCAACCTTTTGGAGAAACTTGGCTGCTTCGAAAAAAATGGGAAATTTTTGCAGTGAAAAATGTTATATTTTGGGGGAAAAAAACAGAATATTTGGAATGAGAAAAACATTTGCCCTCATAGCATGCATTTTTGGAAAATACTGAAATCGGAATGAACGAATTATGTGGAACGAGATTTAAAAAAAAGAGAGGAATTGACAAAAAATAGGAATACGGTGATAATTTTTGTCGTCACTGTTGCAAGTAATGACGAGCAGTTGTATATTTGGAAGCTACTGTTTACAGCGGTAGCAGATTGACAGCACCAATGATGGTGAAGCAGCATGCGGCTCATTGCCCATTTGTAAACGACTGTCTATTTGCCGACTCGTTTCCATCAACGTAAAAATAAAAACAACTCTTTGGGTTTCAGCATGGACCTGCACAGTGCAAAAAAAGAGTATTTATAGTGACATTGAAGTCACTTGTATGTGACAGAGTCCATGAAAATGAAAATCTGCGGCGTGCTTTTTCACCGCCCTGGTATTTATATATTGGGCTGCGGCCATTCATCAGCATGAGTCGGCTTCATTACCGAAAGTGACAGAGTGAGGGAACGCGTGGTCACCTCTGTGACGCCCCTCAAGGCAAAAAAAAGAAATGCTGAGAAAGCAGGACCAGTCAAGATAAACGACCAGTAATCATTTTTTTTTAATTGCTCCACTGGATTTTTCAATTGTATTTTTATTGTGATTATCAATCGATTCTTTTTTCAGGACTCAGGCAGCAGCATTTTGTACCATCAAATTTAGCAAGAGAATTTCAAGTTTTGGTTTTCCATGTAGGATGGTGACTTTTTTTTTTGGTCATCCTTCTCGTTCTAGTCAGCACTCAGCAACTGGGACAGATTGGAGAGACTTTCTAAAAACTCGCTTTGGGGTCAACAATGTTCAAATTAGATCGTGACTTCACAGTTTTGTGTCCCAAATTGGATTCTGACTCTTTTTCGATCCGCCTCGCTCGAGTCAGCTCTCGGCTGGGGCATTTTGGACCATTTGGGAGAAATGTCAAAGAGACTTGCTTGAACTAAAGAATGTGCAGATTTGGGTGGAAGACCCATGAATTTTCTTCTCCAAATAGGATTGGGAATCCTTCCACTTCTCATGATTCAGTACTTGGGAAGGCACATTTTGGACCAGTTCGAAGCTTCTTTTTACGTAATAGCTTGAGTTAAACTGTGTGTGTTTAGTGAGAAACTCATGTTTTTTTTCTCCTCCAACAATTGTGAATCTTTCCACTTCTCCCAGTTCTTGTCAGTCGTCAATTAACTGCACGTGTGAAGCATCAATTTATTTATGGAGTGACTACAAGCTTTATTCCATTCTTTTTATTTATTCATGTATTTTTTAAAGCCATTGGAAAAAAAAAGTCCCCAATAATGAATATGCCATGATTCTTGTCGACATCATCGAGTGCAGACTTAAACGTACCTGCTGACTTTTCACGTCTTTTTTTTTGGAGGCGCGAGCCTTTTTCACCCCTCAGAACACGTCCACCTCCATCACTCTACAGGTAATGTCATTGAAGCAAAGGGCAAGATCATCCCTCAGTTACAGTGATTCGCTTTATAGCTGCTGGCGTGTGTGTGTGTGTGTGTGTGTGTTTGTTTACTCAGTCTAAAGTTGCCACATTATCCAATTCAGGAGCTAACTTAATTGACCTTATCCGCGCGGCTAAATATAACGTGACACCCGGGATTTTTGGACAGTTTTCCTACTCTTTTCTTATTTCTGGTCGGTACTCAGCTAACAGTTGTCTTGGACCAGTCGGAGACTTGTCGTGAGAGACCGCAAACGAGTAGTGCATTGAGTCGGAGATCTATGATAAGCTTTTATTGGGGGGAGGGGAGGGGTGGCAAACATTACTAAATTCACACAGTTGGCTTTACATTTGGCTTTAGTATTTTGGACCGATTGAAGACTTGTTTTAAGACAGTGGTCCCCAGCCACCAGGCCACAGACCGGTACCGGTCCGTGGGTCATTTGGTAACGGGCCGCACAGAAAGAATAAAGAACTTACATTACTATCATTTTATTCGTTTCGGGATCTGAAAGATGTTTTATTTTGAAAAAAATGTTCAGGTCCTTTTTTCCTAGTTTTGATCAGTACACCAGCATCAGCAAATTTGGAGTCTTGTGACGTGTCCCAATACTTTCTCCAACTGGTGTCGGAGTGAATTGTGCTGAAAAGAAATCCTGTCTGTGTGCATGAAGCCCTTAACTTGACCAACGACTTCTTTCCCTCAATTATCTCTTGTTCTCTGCATGAGCTTCCAAATCGCAATCAGTTTTCATCATCATTTTTCCGATGTTTTGGAAAACAATACAGCAGAGGCCAAAACACAAATCGAGAATTTGGAAACCTCTTTTTTGTTGTTTTTTTTTTTTTAACTCACTGTCACCAGTCCATTCCCGCCTCGCTTCCGCTGAGCAAACGAGTCGGGCAAAACGTGACAAGATGTCCGACACAAAGGTCAAACACAATGTGCGTGCCCGCGGCACATCACTGCGTCGTCTCGCTACTTGGCAGACACAGGCAGGAACAGGATTCACTCCGTCTGACTCATGCGGGCCCGTCAGCACCGGGCTTCACTTTTGGCCGCCGTGCTGGCCGCCCGTCAAGATTGTTTACGTGACTACGTACTGTGTTGTAGGCAAAAAAATACAAAAACAAAATTGGTTTTTCAATTTCAGTCCTGAATTATACAAGACGTGATGTTCCTACCTGAGAAATATATCTCTTCTACTTGTTCTAGTCAGTACTTGAGCAGCATCATTTCGGAGACTTGTTTTGAGAGACTCGGGGCCAAGCAATGTGTGGATAGTGACTGGGAAAGGATATTGTGAATATTTCATTTTCTAGATGTGGTCAGTATTCAGGAAATGTCATCTAGCATCCTAGGTTGAGTCAGTGCTCGGGCAAGAATGTTTTGGATTTGTCTTTAGAGACTTGCTAGATGTAGACCAGAGGGGTGTCAAACTCATTTTTGTCGCGGGCGACATTATAGTTACCGGTTCCCTTGGAGGGTTATGACTGTGAAACCATATAAGGAAGTCAAGAATAATGGTTTATTCAAATATAGTTTCCGTTATTGTAATGAGGGTTTTGGTAACAAAAAAAACTTACAATCGCTCTCTTATATATTACATCCGAGACTTTGAAATTTTGGTAAAAATTTTAGTAAGCATCACAGAAGTCAACAAGTTTGATTTGCTTTCGCGGGCCACATCAAATGATGTGGCGGGCCAGATGTGGCCCCCGGGCCTTGAGTTTGATAACTTTGATGTAGACAATGTTCAAATTTAGTGGGGGACCGTTCATCTTGGCTCTCCAAATATGACTATGAAATTTTCTACTTTTCTGAGTTTTAGTCAATACTCGGGCAGAAGCTTTATGGACGAATAAAAGACTTGACCAGACCAGAAAGGATCGTGAATTTGTGAGTCCTTCCATTTCTCTTTGTTTTTGTCAATACTCGGACAGCAGCAATTTTGGAGCGGCTATTTATTTGTATTTAGAGACTTGCTTGCGGTAAACAAAGTGTGGATTTAGTGCAGGGCCCGCG